GGGATTACAGGCATAGAAGCCACAATGCCGCCTAGCCTAACCACTTTAAAGAGAAAATATAATGGATTTAGTATATTAGTACATTAGTAATAGGTACAACCACCACCTCTATCTAGTTTCAAAACCTGTTTTTTTTGAGATGGAGCTTTGTTCTTAGTTGCCCAGGCTGGAGTGCAAATGGCTTGATCTCAGCTCACTGCAACCTCTGCCACCTAGGTTCAAGCAATCTCCTGGCGCTCAGCCTCCTAAGTAGCTGGATAAGGCATGTGCTGACCATACTGGCTAATGTGGTCTGATTTTTTAGTAGTGGAATGGGGATTTCCCATGTTGGTCTCAGCTAGTCTTGAACTCCTGACCTCAGGTGATCACCTGCCACGCCTCTTCCAAGAGTGTGCGCGGGAGTTACAGGCGATGAGCATGTGCTGGGCTTTCAAAACATTTTTATCCCACCCCAACTAAAACCCAGACCCATGAAGTTACTCCCATTCCCAGTCTTTCTCATCCCACCGTCCCCACTCCCCGTCAAGCCAACTGGCAACCACAAATCTGCTCTCTTGTGTCTGCTTGGGTTTACGCTAGTCTGTAATGATCGCACATGTGTAAGAATATCGCCGTGTGTTCGGTTCTGCGCTTTCGCCTTCACTTGAGCAAAACATTTGATGTTCAAGTCTCGCAAAATACCTGAGCATATAGATGGCGTGTTTCATCCGTTTTTTTATGGTCGAATAATATTTGATGTATTGGGGTAATCACAATCTGTTTATCCATCATTTGCTGATGCAACATTTGGTTGTTTCATCTTTCTGGCTATTGTCAAAAAGTGTGAATGGACACTTGTGTACAAAGAATTGTTTGGACAACTGCCTCTTTCCTTTTTTTTTTTTTTTTTTTTGGGAACACGGGTCTTGCTCTGCTACCCCAGGCTGGGAAATGTAGCTTGCAAATCATGGGCTCATTGCAGCCTCAACCCTCCCACGCTCAGCATCCAAGTAGCATGGGATTACAGCGTCGTGCACCACAGCCGGCTAAATTTCTTTTTTTTTTTTTGATGACAGAGTTCGCTCTAACCAGGCTAGAGTGCGCAGGTGATGATTCTTTGGCTCACTCGCAACCTCCTTCTTCCACGGTGTTCAAGCGTGATTTCTCCAGCCTCAGCCTGCCCCATGCCCAGCTATTTTTTTTTTTTTTTGTTTTTTTGAGATGGAATCTCCCTCTACAGCCAGCTGGAGTGCAGTGGCATGATCTTGACTCACTGCAACCTCTTCTTCCTGGGTTCAAGTGATTCTTCTGCCTCAGCCTCATGGGTAGCTGGGACTACAGGCGCATGCCACCATGCCTAGCTAATTTTTGTATTTTTAGTAGAGAGGGGGTTTCACCATGTTTGCTAGGATGGTCTTGATCTCCTGACCTCATGATCCACCCGCCTCAGTCTCCCAAAGTGCTGGGATTATGGGCATGAGCCACCATGCACAGTTAATCTTTTTTTTTTTTTTTTTGAGAGAGAGTTTTGCTCTTGTTGCCCAGGCTGGAGTGCAATGGCATGATCTTGGCTCGCCACAATCTCCGCTTCCTCGGTTCAAGCGATTTTCCTGCCTCAGCCTCCCGAGTAGCTGGGATTACCAGCATGTAGCACCAAGCCCAGCTAATTTTGTATTTTCAGTAGAGACGGGGTTTCTCCCTGTTGGTCAGGCTGGTCTCAAACTCCTGACCTCAGGTGATCCACCCACTTCGGCCTCCCAAAATGCTGGGATTATAGGCATGAGCCACCACACCCAGCTAAGTTTTGTAGTTTTTAGTAGAGATGGGGTTTCACCTTGTTGGCCAGGTTGGTCTTGAACTCCTGACCTCAGGTGATCTACCCGCCTCGCCTCCCAAAGTGCTAGGATTACAGGCATGAGCCACCGCACCTAGCCCATTTTGTATTTTTTGTAGTCACAGGGTTTTACCATGTTGCCCAGACTGGTTGCCCATGAACTCCTGGGCTCATGCAATCCTCCCGCCTCGGCCTCCCAAAATGCTGGGATTACAGGCATGAGCCACCCCACCCAGCCTGGACACCTGATTTAAATTCTTTTGGGTGTATCCCTAGGAGCAGAATTGCTGGATCATTTGGTAATTCCATGTTTAACTTTCTTTTTTTCCCTCCAATTTGAGAGCAGGTACTGTTTAAGTGCTTAGATTAGAAAAACAATCACGGTAGACACCTTAGTTCATTCTTCTAAGAAGTCTGTTGATCTGGTCCTCCCTGTTGCCAGCATGTCCACTTTCTACAAAATGGATGGTCTTTTTCTTCATTCCACCTTGTGGAGAGGATAATTTCAAGGGCCACAGGAAGTTATTTGCTTCTTTGAAGCATTTTCCAACAGTATAGATCTCAAGAATCAAATCCTCCATACAGGTGATGCCATATTTACCCAGAGATCAAGCAATCACAGTATCATCTGTCAAAGTAATACGGTTCTTACTGATTTTGCCATAACCACGCTGATAGATTAGTTCATTTACTGACTTCAGATTTGGGTACCCCCATGCCATATATGGTTCTACAATCCTCAGCATGCTCACTGAAGCCTTGTTGAGCTTCACAAAGGTTCCATTGAAGATTTGACAAAGGCGAAGAAGCTTCAACACCTTTTGGACCTTTGGGCTCACACCACTGATACTGATCCCGATGACAAATGTCAATTTGGGTTTTGCAGGTACATAGAAGTTGCCAGCTTTTCTGGCCGTCCTAGCCGTTTGAATTTCAGTTCTGTACACCTGCCTATATTCCTTGTGATAGTGTTTCACTTTTTCATAGGTAAGTTTCCTCCTTGCCTTTTGAAGCATCTTTTGGGCAAACTTCTTTCTCAGGCCTTTGATCTTCAACTCTGGGAAATTCCTTCGCTTTTTAAGGGTTTCTGGCATAGCAGGAACCTCCTTTTTTTCCTTTTTTTTTTCTTTTTTGAGATGGGGTCTCACTCTGTCTTCCATGCTGGAGTGCAATGGCACGATCTCGTCTCAATGCAACCTCCCCCTCCTGCATTCAAGCAATTCTCCTGCCTCAGCCTCCTGAGTAGCTGGGATCATAGTCACCTGCCACCACGCCCGGCTAATTTGTTTTGTATTTTTAGTAGAGACGAGGTTTCGTCATATTGGACAGGCTGGTCTGGAACTCCTGACCTCAGGTGACTTGCCCACCTCGGCCTCCCAAAATGTTGGGATTATAGGTGTGAGCCACCACACCCTGGCCCTCTCCTTTTTCTTTACGACACCCTACATGGTTCCAGCCAGAAAAGAAGTTACTTTTTTTTTTTTTTTAGACAGAGTCTCACTCTGTTGCCCAGGCTAGAGTGCAGTGGCGCGATCTCAGCTCACTGCAAGCTCTGCCTCCCGGGTTCATGCCATTCTCCTGCCTCAGCCTCCTGAGTAGCTGGGATTACAGGCGTGTGCCACCACACCCAGCTAATTTTTGTATTTTTAGTAGAGATGGGGTTTCACCATGTTGGCCAGGCTGGTCTCGAACTCCTGACCTCAGATGATCCACCTGTCTTGACTTCCCAAAGTGCTGGGATTACAGATATGAGCCACCATGACTGGCCTTTTATTTTTCTGAGACAAGGTCTCACTCTGTTGCCCAGGCTGAAGTGCAGTGGCTTGATGTCAGCTCACTGCAGCCTTGACCTCCTGGGCTCAAACAGTTTTCCTCTCAGCCTCCCAAGTAGCTGGGACCATAGGTGTGTGCCACCATGCCCGGTGAATTTTTGTATTTTTGGTAGACACAAGGTTTTGTCATGTTGCCCAGGCTGGTCGTGAACTCCTGAGCTCAAGTGATCTGCCCACCTTGGCCTCCAAAGTGCTGGGATTACATGTGTGAGCCACTGTGCCCATCCATATGTTTAACTTTTTGAGGAACCATCAAACTGCTTACCACAAAGGCTGAACCATCTAATATTCCTACCAGCAATGTATAAGGATTCTAATTTCTCCACATCCTTGTAATCAACTTTTAAATTTTAAATTTGGCTGGGCACGGTGACTCAAGCCTGTAATCCCAGCACTTTTGGAGGCTGAAGTGGATCACTTGAGGTCAGGAGTTAGAGACCAGCCTGGGCAACATGACAAAACCTTGTCTCTACCAAAAATACAAAAATTCACCAGGCATGTGGCACACACCTATGGTCCCAGTTTAGCTTGGGAGGCTGAGACCGAAAATCCGTTGAGCCCAGGAGGGGGTCAAGGCCTGCAAGTGAGCTGACATCAAGGCCACTAGAACTCTCCCAGCCTAGACAACAGAGTGAGACTTGTCCAAAAATAAAGGCCAGTCCATAGGTACCTCCCATGTCGTACCTCCAGCCAACTTGCGAAACGTCAAGGACGGTGGATCACCTGAGGCGACACGAAGCAAGGACCCAAGCCGTCGCGGGCACAGCAGTGCGTGGAAACGACTGAAACCCGGATTCTCCTACTAAAAAAGCTACAAAAATTAAGCTGGCCGTGCGTGGGCCATGTGCCTGCAATCCGCTAAGCTACTTAGGAGCGCTGAGGGTGGGTGTGTCCACCTTTGAGGCTTAAAAAGAGAAGATTAGAGACGCAGCCTGGGGCACCACAATGACAAGAAACCTCGTCTCTACACCAACAAAATACAAAAAATTAATAAGCCGCCCGCTCTCTAAACTAAAACACATTAAAAAAAAAAAAAACAAAAAAAAAAAAAGAGCAGGCACTCGGTGGTGTGTTGCCTGGCGCAGTCCTAGCTACTCAGGAGCCTGAGTGGGAGTGCTGCCTTTGAACTGGGAGTGCGAGGTTGCCAGTGAGCCTGAGATGGTGCCACTGCACTCAGCCTGGGGACAGAAGATGAGAACCCTGTCTCCAAGAAAAAAAAAAAAAAAAAACCTTAAGAAATGTTATATAATTTGCCCTGAATAGAAGATGATGATGAATTAAATACAAGTCCGTGACTTTTTTTTTTAAAGTTTGTGTCTTGAAACCTAGACATTTTAAAAAACTACACTACACCATAAGGCACAGAGTGAATATTTATTTATCACAGAGGTCAAGCCTAAGCTCTAATTTTATAAATCCTGGAAAAGCAGGCCAGAAAAGTACAGAGACTTGCCCAAAGTCAAAGCTAAAGATGCTTCCAGAGGCCAGGAGAGAAGAAAATGTTTTAGTAGCACTCTATAACTGGACCCTCAAATCTACTCACTCTAAGCATCCCTTCAAGTTCCTGACTCCAAAGAATCTCAGTAAGAAAACAATAGAGATGGTTTCCAAATAGGAGGTAGGACGCCATGAGTGGCATTGAGCAATAACTACAACAGTCTAGCTAAAGATACCTGCCACTTATGACATCTGAGCATGAAACTAATTTTAAAATGGCCATTTAGTACATACATGTAAGAAATCTTGTATCCCTTAAATCTATACAAATAAAAAACTACAAATAAAATGGCCATAAAAATGAAACAACAAAACAAAAACAACCACCACCTGTGACTTCCAAACGCCTTATCTTTTCATTTATTCATAAAGATTTCTGGTCCCACACATGTTCCAGGACAAGTTGTATCAATATACCCCAATCCTTTCTAATGCCCTGAGTTCTTTCTTCCAAATATCTTCTAATTCGTGGTCTGGGAGGGAAAAGGGTAGCGGAGTTCTCAGGTAGATGACATCTCCAAAGGGGAAAGGACAAAGGCCTCTGGCTTGGCTTCCTGCTTCAGCACTCCAGTCAGCAGGAACTCAGGTGAGAGGAGGGGCAGCCCAACACGCAGTGGAACAGAGCAACGAGGGAAGTCCTGAGGGCATGTGATCACAACTCTCTGAGGCTAGGGAAGACAGAGCAAAGACAAAATCAGGGGTGCAAAAGAATCCTAGAAATGGGTTCAGGACCCACTAACCAGTCTTAGCATCACTAAAATAATACCTCCTAATATGAAGCCAAGTGAAGCACACCGCATACTGTCTATGAAATACTCTTGCTAGGCCAGGCACAGTGGCTCACTCCTGTAATCCCACCACTTTGGGAGGCCGAGGCGGGCAGATCACGAGGTCAGGAGATCGAGACCATCCTGGCTAACACGGTGAAACCCCGTCTCTATTAAAAACACAAAAAATTAGCCGGGCATGGTGGCGGGCGCCTGTAGTCCCAGCTACTTGGGAGGCTGAGGCAGGAGAATAGTGTGAACCCAGGAGGCAGAGGTTGTAGTAAGCCAAGATTACTCCACTGTACTCCAGCCTGGCGACAGAGCAAGACTCTGTCTCAAAAAAAAAAAAAAAAAAAAAAAAAAAGAAACACACTTGCTAGAAAGATGAACCTGAATTCATTCAAGCTTTTACAATTATCTGCAGTTTCCAGGAAATATGGAATATAGAGGAACAAGATAAATGATGCAACAAGGAGGCAAACCCAAAATTCCACACTGAGGAACATTCTGAAGGACAAGTGACCCAGTTTCTGCAGGAAATTGATGGCATAAAAATAGCTGGGTGGGTTAAGGGATGCTGTAGAGTTAAGAGAATTAAGAGGATAATAGTTGCGGCAGTATGTGGACTTTATTTGAATCCTGATTTGAACAACTGCATAGAGAGATTTTTCAGTCAATGGGGGAAATTTTATTAATGGAGTGTGAGCAAATGACCAATAAACTACTGTTAAATTTTGTTTAGGATCAATAATGGCATTGTGATTATGAAACAAAATGCACATATTTCTTAGAGATGTATATTTAAGTATGTAGGAAGAAATAATGTAATATTGGCAGTTTGTTTTAAAATACTTCAGTAAAGAAAGAGAAAGGAGGGCCGGGCGTGGTGGCTCAAGCCTGTAATCCCAGCACTTTGGGAGTCCGAGACGGGCGGATCACGAGGTCAGGAGATCGAGACCATCCTGGCGAACACGGTGAAACCCCGTCTCTACTAAAAATACAAAAAAACTAGCCGGGCGAGGTGGCGGGCGCCTGTAGTCCCAGCTACTCGGGAGGCTGAGGCAGGAGAATGGCATAAACCTGGGAGGCGGAGCTTGCAGTGAGCTGAGATTGCACCACTGCATTCCAACCTGGTGACAGAGCAAAGCCTCCATCTCAAAAAAAAAAAAGAAAGAAAATACTTCAGCAAAGAAAATCAAAGGAAAAAAGGGATAGATGGAGCAAAAGTAGCATAATCTAAATTAACCTGCTGAATCTCAGTGATTGTTATATGGGTATATCAGCAGATCTGTCCCCTCATTCCTATCCCTTTCTATACCATAGGTCTTTCCCCACCCTCTCACTACTCTATATTCTTTTCTGTACCTCCATTTTTTTTCCCCTCCAACCTTTGCCATTCCAGCCACCTCTTTAACTGCCACTGCCACCTCATCCAGACCCAGAACATCCTAAGCATACCTTATAGGACCGAGGCATGCTGGGTAGGTATGTGCCTCCACAGCAGCTAATGATCTCTCCCATCTGAGGTGGTGGTGGCTGGACTCCAGGGGTCACATAGATCTCATAGCCCTAAGAGAAAGAAATGGTGGAGACGGTATTGTAGGTTGGGAAGCACTGGAGGGAGGGCTGAAGCACAGGTCAAGAGATAGCCTCTCACCTCCAGCAGCCTTCGCTCCCGAGCCCGACTCAGTGCGTCTTGAAGGCTAAAGCCAAAGTTCTTCTCTTGCTCAGGGTCGGTCACCACATACTCATCCGGAGGTAAGAAGCAACCGGCCTTGCGGGACTAAGGACAGCAGCAGTCAGCATCAAAGCTCAGCCCAGCCCCTCACCCAGCTCTGCTGCCTAGCATTTAGAGAGAGCTCACAAAATGTCTTTTAAATCAATTCAGGCTTCTGGCTCACTAATGCCCCTGTCTTCCTGTAACGCCTCTTCCCTTCCACAACTTTCTGGGGTACTACGTGAGCAGTCTTGCCACTATATTGGTCTGTCATCATCCCTTGGCCTCTCACCTGATGCAGCCAGTCCAGGGAGAGAATGGGGATTCCCCGCCCCAGGGCACACAGGAACTTGACTGTCCGGCGGATGCGATCAGTGACCAGGTGGGAAGCCTCTGCCGCTGAACCAGCCAGACTTCCCCCCAGTGCCAGCACGGCCCGCTCTCCCTGAGCATCCACCACTCCTGTGAAGAGCACCTGTGGAAGGGTTGACCTGAGGTGGTCACAGCAACCCACACCATCAGCACCCATCTCTATAATCCTCCAGGTCTCCTTGCATCCTCCCCTCATCTCTGTCTCCCACAAAGTCCCATGCCCTTGTCTCTTACTTTGGGGGCTGTTGATTCTTGGTTAAGTTTGGTCCGTCGGAGGCTGCGGTTCGGTATTCTGTTGGGCTCCTCCTCTGCCTGGTCTCTCTTTCTCTTGCCTGGTTTTGGAGTCATGACATCCTGAAATTGAGAAAAATCTTGGTGGGAGTTTCAGAGCCCCGAAGCCATTTTTCCCGGCTTTGTGGTCCTAGCCCTCTCCTCACCTCTTCCTTCCCTGGCTTCTCTGCAGTATCTTCTTCCTCTTCCTTGATAATCACTGTCTTCTGGGAGACTTCCCCTCTTTGGGGCTGTTTTTGATGTGGTGGTGAATCCATGATAGCTAAAGACCTCTTGCGGCTTTGAGAGGCCTTAGGCTGGAGCTCTGGGGTGAACCTAGATCTACCTGCTGGTTCCACTTTTTGGATCTGGGAGGCATGAGTTGGTATATCAAGAAGCTGGGGAGAGACAGGCTCAGGAATGGCTGTAAGGGATTCATCTGCTCTCACTGCTCCCCATCTTTGGTTCCTTGAGGGCCGGGATTTAGGTTCCAGGGGTGCAGAGCAAGGCTTATGGTCAATGGGAGCTGTGAGGGAGCCAGGATTCCCAGTGGCTCTCTGCCTCTTGATGCAACTGGCTTGAGGAATAGGCTCAGGGGAAATGGGCTGGTCTGTGGTGACAGGAGATTGGAATTCAGGGCTAGTAGGAATTAGCATAGCACTTACTGTGGAAGACCTCAGTGTTTTGCTCTGACTACCCTGAGGTATGGCCTCAGGGGTGACAGGCTGGTCTGTGGGGGTAAAAGGCTCAAGATCAGAGGCTGCTGGTTCAACTGGTTCAGGAGTCTTGACAGAGGACCTATTTGTCCTTCCCCTAGTGGCCCTAGATGTGGGCTTGGGGGTGACAGGCTGGTCTGTGGAGGTGGTAGGATGGGGCTCAGGGGCTGTGGGGACAGCTGGTTCAGGGGTCTTGACAGAGGACCTATTTTTCCTGCCCCTAGTGGCCCGAGATATGGGCTCAGGGGTGACAAGCTGGCTTCTGGAGGTGGAAGGGTGAAACTCAGGGGCTATAGGGACAATTAATTCAGGGGTCTTGACAGATGACCTATTTGTCCTGCCCCTAGTGACCCGAGATGTGGGCTTGGGGGTGACAGGCTCGTCTGTGGAGGTGGTAGGACGGGGCTCAGGCGCTGTGGGCACAACTGTTTCAGGGGTCTTGACAGAAGACCTATTTTTTCTTCCCCTAGTGGTCCGAGATGTGGGCTCAGAGGTGACAGGCTGGTCTGTGGAGGTGGAAGCCTGGAGCTCAGGGGCTGTGGGCACAACTATTTCAGGAGTCTTGACAGAGGTTCTATCTGTTCTTCCCCTAGTAGCCTGAGATGTAGGCTCGGGGGTAATAGGCTGGTCTGTGGAGGTGGAAGGCTGGAGCTCAGGGGCTGTGGAGACAACTGGTTCAGGGGTCTTGACGGAGGACCTATTTGTCCTGCCCCTGGTGGCCTGAGATGTGTGCTTGGGGGTGACTGGCTGGTGTGTGGAGGTGGAAGGCTGGAGCTCAGGGGCTGTGGGGAGAACTGTTTTAGGGCTCTTGACAGAGGACCTATTTGTCCTACCCCTGGTGGCCTGAGATGTGGGCTCAGGAGTGATAGGCTGGTCTGTGGAGGTGGAAGGCTGGAGCTTAGGGGCTGTGGCCACAACTGTTTCAGGGGTCTTGACAGAGGACCTATTTTTTCTTCCCCTAGTAGGCTGATATGTGGGCTCAGTGATGACAGGCTGCTCTGTGGAGGTGGAAGGTGGGAGCTCAGGGGCTATAGGGACAGTTGATTCAGGGGTCTTGACAGAGGACATATTTGTCCTGCTCCTAGTGGTCCGAGATGTGGGCTTGGGGGTGACAGGTTGGTCTGTGGAGGTGGAAGGGTGGAGCTCAAGGGCTGTGGGCACAACTGCTTCAGGGGTCTTGACAGAGAATCTAGTTTCTTCCCCCTAGTTAGCCTGAGATGTGGGGCTCAGAAAGCCAACAAGCCTGGTCTGTGAGGTGGAAGGCTGGAGCGTCAGGGAAACTCGTGGGGACAACTGGTTTAGGAGTCTTGACAAGAACCCCTATTTCCTGCTCCTAGTGGCCTGAGAATGTGGGCTTTGGGGGTGACCGGTTTGTTCTGTGGAGGTGGAAAGGGTGGGCCTCAGGGCTGGGTTGGGCCGACAACTTCTTCCAGGGTCTTGACAGAGGTCCTAGTTTTTCTTCCCCTATAGCCCTGACGATGTGGGGCTCAGAGGTGACAGGCTGGTCTGTGGGGGTGGAAGCTGAGCTCAGGGACTGTGGGGACAACTGGTTCAGGGGTCTTGACAGAGGACCTATTTGTCCTGCTCCTAGTGGCCTGAGATGTGGGCTTGGGGGTGACTGGCTGGGCTGTGGAGGTGGAAGGGTGGGGCTCAGGGGCAGCAGAGGTAGCTGGAAAGGGTGTCATCCTGGAGGACTTCCGAGTTATGATTTTAGGCTTTGGGTGGAAAGGCTCCAGCTCTGAGGACAAGGGAGTCTCTGGAGCTTCCTGACTCCTATCCTGCCCGGTCTTATGAATGGTTGGCTCGATAGAAGGTGAAAGGGGAGAAAGAAGGGGCTGAGGTGCAAGATGTTTCTGGCTCTGAGAATTAAGGGGCTTTTGGGGTGGGGCTGAGGCTTCAGGCACTGTAGGAGGCAGACAAGCATCTGGAGATTCCTGATCGCCCTAGGGAGAAACAGAAGCAAGTGAGGGGGAGGAGGTGGAGAAAAGAGATAGAACTTGGATACTGTTCTTGATACTTGTTTATGGTTAGATAGGCTTACTGGATTTTGCCCAGGCGTAGCGGCTCACGGCTATAATCCCAGCACCTTGGGAGGCCAAGGTGGGTGGATCATGAGGTCAGGAGTTCAAGACCAGCCTGGCCAACATAGTGAAACCCCGTCTCTACTAAAAATACAAAAAAAATTAGCCGGGTGTGTTGGCAGGTGCCTGTAGTCCCAGCTACTTGGGAGGCTGAGGCAGGAGAATCGCTTGAACCTGGGAGGCAGAGGTTGCAGTGAGCCAAGATCGCGCCACTGCACTCCAGCTTGGGTAAAAAGAGCGAAACTCTGTCTAAAAAAAAAAAAAAAATGCTCACTGTCTGTCTATGATCTCTCCTCCATTAGACTGGGATATACCTGGGAAGCTACCTTTCCCCATGGACCTGTCTCCATAATGCTACTATAGTGTTCTCCACACATGGATGATGGTAATGAAAAGGATGGCTGGGGCAAAGAAAGAAGAAACACGAAGGGTCTTTCTTTTGAGTCAGGTAGGAGATACAACTTGGGAAACAGATATGGAAAACAATGGGTGCCGAGGATGAAGGAATAGAAGTCAATCAAGGAGTGATAAAAATGGAAGAAAACTGAATAATGAGAAAGGAATAGATTAAAGTGAGGCTAGGTGAAGGAGCGTTGGAGAGGATATAGAGATGACTTGTGGAGTAGGAGGTAGAAAAAACAGCTCTCACCCTGGAAGCCTTCTCAGCAGCTCTGATCCTGGAAGCCTTCTCAGTGGGTGGCATCTTGCAATTCAGGAGGCCTAGACAGAAAATAAACACAAAGGTGGCTGAGTTCCAAGCAGCTGGTTGCCCAGGGGTTGATTATTATGAGGCCTGTGTATCACCTTGAGTTCCCCTCTGCCTTCACTTACCTTTCTGATGCCTCCTGGGGCTCACTGGGGATCCCCTTCCACCTGACTGGCTCCCAGAAGGTACGGGGGCTGAGGTAGGTCCCAGAAGGTCCCCCGCCCCCACCCCAGGCTCTGGTGTTGGGCTGGAGGCCTGCCCTTTCTGGTCCTGGCTCCCTCCCTTTGGCTCCCCTCTCCGTGCGTCTCTCTCCAGGATCACTTTGGGCACCTTCTCTTCTAACTCAGCTGGCTCACACTCTCTGTCTGCTACTGGTCTCTCTACTTCTCTCTCAAATGCTTTGCTTGGAAGGGTCTGCTTCTGTACTTGTTTCTCTTGTATTTCCTTGGATGTCTCAATTTCTACCTTCAAACTCTCCCTATCTCTTTCAGGACTTGCACTTTCCCCATTTTTGTCAGATTCTTGTCTCTGGGTGTCTCTAGCTAACAACTGTTTTTGTTCTCTGTCCTGTATCCCCCTGGTTAATTCTTCCTCTCCTGTCACATCTGTCTGTCTTTCCGGTAGCAGTTTCTCAGTTTCTCTCTCCAGTGGCCCTCTCTCAGGGCCCACCCTCTCTGCTGTTTCTTTTGGTATACCCATGCCTTTATCCATAGTCTGCCTCCCTCTGCCTTGAATCCCCATTGGCTCTGTGTGAACTGGGCTCTCTGGATGTTGGTCTCCTGGTATTGCCCTAGGTGGAGACAGGCAAGGTCCATAGGCCTCAAGGTGGGTGTCAAAAGGCTGGGTCTCAGAGTCCTCAGACTCTCTCAGACAGAATGGCTGTGTAGCCAGGACCTCCCATGGTTCATCTAGGGTACCTGGAAGGGAGGAAGGAAGAGAGAGAGAGGAGGAGAGAGAGAGAGAGAAAAGGAGAGGAGGAGGGAAAGGGAAGTACAGGTTGACATAATAAATATGATGAGAAAAGATTTAGATAAACTCATAAATAATAAATCTGAACAGGTTATTAAAGGAAAGCTGGGAATAAGGGTGGTAGTTACAACATTTAACGTTTGTCTCAAAAAGGTCATAGCCTTGGGCAGGCATGGTGGCTCAGACATGTAATCCCAGCACTTTGGGAGGCCAAGACATGAGGACTGCTTGAGGTCAGGAGTTTGAGACTAGCCTGAACAACATGGCAAAACCCCATCTCTACAAAAAATACAAAAAAATTAGCCAGGTGTGGGGGCAGGGACCTGTAGTCCTGTAGTCTCAGCTACCCAGGAGGTTGAGGTAGAAGAACTATTTGAACCCCAGAAGTCAAGACTGTAGTGAGCTGCAATCATACTACTGCACTTCAGCCTGAGTGACAGAGACCCTGTCTCAAAAAAAAAAAAAGAAAAAAAAACCCAACAACAAAAAGAAAAACATCATAGCCTAACATGAGTTCCCTGAATAGTCTCTCATCATACCACTGCACTCCAGCCTGAGTGACAGAGACCCTGTCTCAAAAAAATAAAAAAAATAAAAAAATAAAAACATCATAGCCTAATAAGAGAGTTCCCTGAATAGTCTCTCTCTTTTTCTTTTTGAGACACAGTCTCACTCTGTCACCCAGGCTGGAGTGCAGTGGCATGATGTTGGCTCACTGCAACTTCCAACTGCTGGGCTCAGGAGATCCTCTCACCTCAGCCTCCTGAGTAGCTGGGACTATAGCATGTGCCAGTGCGCCCAGCTAATTTTTTGTATTTGTTGTAGATATGGGGTTTGGTCTTGAACTCTTGGACTCAAGTGATCCGCCCATCCTAGCCTCCCAAAGTGCTGGGATTACCGGTGTGAGCCACCATGCTTGGCTGGAATTTCCTGCTTTTTAAAGGCTGAATAGTATTCCACTGTGTATATATACCACATTTTCTTTTTCATCGACACATAATAATGGTACATATTTATGGGGTACCTGTGCTATTTTGACTCATGCATACAGTGTACAATGATAAAACCAAGATAATTGGGATATCCACTATCTCAAACATTTACCATTTCTTTGTATTGGAAACATATCAAATCTCTTCTAGCTATTTTGAAATATACAATAAATTATTAACTATAGTAACCCTACTGTGGAACTGAATACTAGAACTTATTCATTCAATCTTGACTGTATTTTTGTATCCATTAACCAACCTCTTTATGCCTCCTGTCCCTCTACCCTTCCCAGCCTTTGGTAACCATCATTCTACTCTCTACTTCCATGAGATCCATGTTTTTAACTGCCACATGAGTAAGCGTGCAATATTTGTCCTTCTGCGCCGACTTACTTCACTTAACATAATGTCCTCAGGGTTCATCCATGTTGCTGTAGATGACAGGATTTCATTCCCTTTTGTGGCTGAATACTGTTCCATTGTGTATATAAACACATTTTCTTTTTTAGATTGAGTCTTGCTCTGTCGCCCAGTTTGGAGTGCTGTGGCATGATCTCAGCTCACTGCAATCTCTGTGTCTTAGGCTCCAGCAATCCTCCCATCTCAGCCTCCCGAGTAGCTAAGACTACAAGTGCATGCCACCATGCCCAGCTAATTTTTGTATTTTGAGCCACCGCACCCAGCCTATGTACACATTTTCTTTTTTTTATTTGAGACGAAGTCTCACTCTGTCACCCACATTGGAGTGCAGTGGCGTGATCTTGGCTCACTGCAACCTCTGCCTCTGGGGTTCAAATGAGTCTCCTGCTTCAGCCTCCTGAGTAGCTGAGACTACAGGCACCCGCCACCATGCCCAGCTAATTTTTGTATTTTTAGTAGAGACAGGGTTTCACCATGTTGGCCAGGCTGGTCTCAAACTCCTGACCTCATGTGATCTGCCCACTTCGGCCTCCCAAAGTGCTGAGATCACAGGCATTAGGCACTGTGCCCCGCCTACGTTTTCTTTTCTTTTTATTGTTTTTGAGACAGAGTTTCACTCTTGTTGCCCAGGCTGGAGTGTGATGGCACAATCTCAGCTCACCACAACCTACGCCTCCCAGGTTCAAGGGATTCTCATGACTCAGCCTCCTGAGTAGCTGGGATTACAGGCATGCACCACCACACCCAGCTAATTTTGTATTTTTAGTAGAGACGGGGTTTCTCCATGTTAGTCAGGCTGTTCTCAAACTCCTGACCTCGGGTGATCTGCCTGCCTTGGCCTCCCAAAGTGCTGGGATTAGAGGCGTGAGCCACTGTGCCCGACCCCGGCCTACATTTTCTTTATCCATTCATCTGTTGATGGACATTTAGTTTGGTTGCATATCTTGCCTACTGTGAATAGTGATGTAATAATGTGGTTTTTTTTAAGAGACATTGGGGGTGGAGGTTGAGGGAAAGGCTATTGCCCAGGCTGGGCTCAAGTGAACCTCCCATCCTGGCCTCCCATGTAGCTGGGACTACAGGTGCTCACTACTATGCTGGGCTAATTTTTTCATTTTTGTGGAGACCAGGTCTCTCTCTGTTGCCCAGGCCAGTCCCTAAATATTTTCAGTCTGCAGCTGGTTGAATTCACGGATGCAAACTTGCATATACAGAGGGTTGATTGTCATCAGAGTATGAAAGAAACATGTAGGAAGGCAAATCAAGAAAGAATGCAGGCCGGGCGCAGTGGCTCACGCCTGCAATCCTAGCATTTTGGGAGGCTGAGGCAGGCGGATCACTTGAGGTCAGGGGTTTGAGACCAGCCTGGCCAACATGGTGAAACCCTGTCTCTACTAAAAATACAAAAAAATTAGCCAAGCATGGTGACAGGCGGCTGTAATCCCAGCTACTTGGGAAGCTGAAGGAAGAGATACCGCCTGGGAGGTGGAGGTTACAGTGAGCTGAGACGGCGCCACTGCACTCCAGCCTGAGCGACAAAGGAAAAAAAAAAAGAGAATGCAAAATTGGGGGCACAGAGGAGGTAAGAGTTTCTTGTACCTGTTGTCTGGAAGCTGCAATGGGAAGGGCCAAGTTCTTGGGGTGGAGTCAACATGAAGGCCTGGGTAGGTTCATCCTCCATGCTCTGGACTGCTGTATAGGAAAAGATGACCTAAGTACATCTCCTCCATACTACTGCAGGGTCTGATTCTTGGTCTCTTACCCTACCCACACTAGCCTTTACCCTTCAAGGACCACCAGTCTAATCTCCCAGCTCCCACTGGTACAGGATTCAAATAACACAGAATTCCTCACCTTCCAGGCCCTGATTCTCCAGAAAGCATTGGGTAGCTTGTAGGTCCGGATCTTCAGAATCTGGTAGGGGAGGAATATTAGATAATTAAAAAAAAAAAAAAATCATACCTGACACTAAACTCCTTAAATAATCTCTACCTTTCTCTCCCCAACCCCAACTGTTAGAATCCTGGTTTATTTCAGAGGTCAAGGAAGGAAGGCCAGCACTTACCATCACAGTTGTCTTCAGAGTCCTTGGTCCTACCCACACGTTGTTCTCTCTCCCTTCCTGTGGGGACCTGGGCTCCCTCTCTCTGTGGCTGGGTGGATTCCCCTGGAGTGTCTGTGTCCACCACCAGATCTGTGAGGTTCTCTCTTGAGGTAGGGAGGTCCTGCTCCACTTGTGCCACAGGTGACCCACCCTGGGCCCCCACCTCATAAGCTCTCTCCTGCTTAAGACAAGCTGCAGTCCACTCTGCCCCAGCATCCCCTTCTGCTGGAAGATGGCTCTTTCTTACATCTGCAACTGCTGAGGCTGCTAAGGAGGTGCCCTCCTCTGCATCTATTTCACAGTCCCCATGTGGAGGCCAGGCTTCCTCTAGAGATACCACAAGCAGCTTTGCTGGTCCCCCGTCTGCTTTCACATCTGTTTGATTTGTCCCCCGCATAGACACCTGATGCTTCTTCATATGTACAATGGCTGACCCTGGCGGGACTTCCTCCTCCACTTGTGTGTTGATGCCCACTGTGATGGAGGCTTGGCTTCTTTCCAGGTGGATCCCAGGTGAGCTCTTATCTGCTTCCACACTGTCATCACTGTCCCCAAAAGGAGGTTGGTCCTTTTCTGAATGTGCTCTAACAAGGGCTCTAATCTTTGTGTGAGCCTTGGGGACAGTTTCTTTATTTTCCACTGGGAGCTCTTCCTCCTCCACATCTGTGTCACTGTCTCTCCCGGTGGTGGTTTGGCATCGCTGGAGAAGGACCGCATGGTGGGCCATGTCCTCTTCTGCATCTCTGTTCCATACAGCAGGCTGGCTCTCTTTCAGACGTGCCAAAGTCAGCGCTGCTGAGACTTCTTCCTCATCATCTGTATCGCTGTTGATAACCATGGAAGCTTGGCTTTTCTCCAGAGGGACAGCCTGTGGGGCCTTGCCTTCCTCCACATCTGTATCACTACCAGCCTGGCTCTCCTGCAGATGGGACAGGCCTGGTGCTCCAGGACCCCTTGTACCAACTCCATGAAAGATCTTCCTCTTCTTCATAGGAACGACAACTGGGGTTGCTGGAATCCCCTCTTCTTCCGCATCGGTGTCGCTGTCGATGAAGCCAAAAGGCTGAGCCCTTTCCAAATGGACCTCAGCTGGCCTTCCAGGAGACCTGCTGTCGTCATCCACATCTGTGTCACTGTCCTCTCCAGGAGGTTGGCTCCTCTCCAGAATCATCCCAGCTGGAACCACCCCATTCCCTGCACCTCTCTTGACTTTTGTGTCATTGTCCCTCTCCTTCACAGAAGGCTGATCCTTTTCAAGCTGGATTTCAGTTACAACTTCAGCTTCAGACTGCTCTGCCTCTATAGTGGCACCTTTTCTGGCAGCTGAGGAGGCCTCCTCTGTGGCTGATTGCTGACCTTCTTCCGCATCTGTGTCACTGTTCAAATTGAAGGCAAAAGGCGGCCCAGGGCCACCCAGGACAGGGGAATGCCCCTCTTCATCACTGTGAAGGGAAGAAAAGAGAGTCGATAGAATTTACTTCCCTGGAAGGGATACCTCAACTCAACTGTGAGCTCCTTGAGGGGAGACACAAGGTAGTATTTCTTCTTCTGTTTCCAATTTGTTTTCCACTTGGCACATCAGAGGTGCTCCATAAACATTCAGCTGAGTGAATGAATATGTATGGTTCCCCAGCCCCAACTCTCATGATAATCATCTCTTTTAGAGATTGATCCTCTAGCCCCTGGTTCTTCCTCATTTTGAAGACTCAGGTGTCTGACTCTTTGGCACTCACCTCTCTGGAACTATCATTGCCACGGGGGAAGATGTGGTCCTTGATTTTTTTACCACATGCCTTTCAGAAAGAAAATCTGTCAAGAACAGAAAAGAATAAGTTGACAATTGTACACTCATTATTCCTGTCTCCTCGTTCACCCTGCCAATATACAAACTTACCTACTTCCTCCTCTGAGTCCTCAGCTAACAGAAGCCTCTGGGGTTGAGTTCCTCCCTGTACCCTGGGTGTCTCTTCTACAGTCAGAGGGCCCCGGGAGACAAAGGGTAGAGAGACATCCAGGCGATGGTACTGGCAGAGCAAGTCAGCAAAGAGAATCAATTCCTGGTCCCTCAGACGGTGACTCACCCCAGGGCTCAAAACCTTAGGAGGTCTCAGGATTTGAGTACCATTAAGGCTCCCACAGTCTCGGAGGATAGGTGCCTTGTCCCAGGCTAAGATTTCAATCTCTGCATGTTGTTTGGAGATAGATGGAAAGGGCAGGGCCACAGAGCAGTCAGGCATTCGGCCTACCACATTCTTCCCGAGGTGTAGTGGGAAATCTAAGAATTAGAGAGGCAGGTAAGTTCCAGGGTCAGAGTCCTGGCCTGTCATTAGGAAAAAGTGCCTATTAGGTACTCTACTACTCACTCAAGGCCTCCGTATGCATTAGAAAAATAGAAGGCCCTAGGACATCTAGGCACTGAAAAAGTGTATGTGATACCCCATCCATCCACAATGGATTTTTTTTTTTACTGTTATAAAATATACATAACACAAAATGTACCACCTTAATAATTTTAAGTGTACAGTTCAGTGGCATTAAGTGCATTCACATTGTTGTGCAATCATCACTACCATCCATCTCCAGAGCACACAATTGGATTTTATTTAGTATTTTTTTTGAGACAGGGTCTCATTCTGTCACCCAGGCTGGAATACAGTGGCATGATCATAGATCAGTGCAATCTTGAACTCCTGGGTTCAAGCGATCATCCTGGCTCAGCCTCCCAAGTAGGTGGGACTACAGATGTGCAATGAACCACCACACCTGGCTAATTTTAAAATTGTTTTGTAGAGACAGGGTCTTGCTATGCTACCCAGGCTGGTCTCTAACTTCTAGTCTCAAGTGATCGTTCCGCCTTGGACTCTCAAAGCACTGGAAATACAGGTGTGAGTCACTGCACCAAACTTCATTTCAATCTCTTAATCTTCTCTTATCAAAGTAAAATCACTTCTAGTGAGTCCAGGGCAGTAGCCTACAACAATCAACTCAATCGGCCCCATCTCCTCCATTCATACAAAAAGAAAAATTCACATCTCATTGAAACATACATAAGCTTCTTGCAACGCTCCAAATACCTTCCCACAAAAATAAAACACCTATATCAATACTTGAGCATCCAATACCCTCTGACCTTTTTCTGGTCCATGGGCACCACTAAAGATATGTAGCCGCCCTACTGGCTCCACATTACACCTCAAGGATTCACTGGATTGCTCTGTCTCCTCCTCTTCTTCAACATCCCAGTCAATAGCCTGGGTGTCCTCCATGATCTGGGAAGGATACACATTATCAATTATCCTCATTATTGGTTCACACAAACAACATCAGAGTTATCAGACTGAAAACTGGGGGGTAAACTGGATTATGAATGTTGATGCTTCTCTTTCCACCAATCTTTCTGTTGTTAACCTTCTGAAGCACTTAAAACATTTTTTTTTTTTTTTTTGAGAGAGAGTTTTGTTCTGTTCCCCAGGCTGGAGTGCAGTGGTAAGATCTTGGGCCCACTGCAACCTCTGCCTCCTGGGTTCAAGCAATTCTCTCACCTCAGCCTCCTGAATAGCTGGGATTACAGGCACCTGCCACCACGCCTGGCTAATTTTTGTATTTTTAGTAGAGATGGAGTTTCACCATGTTGGCTAGGTTTCATCTTGAACTCCTGACCACAAGTGATTCGCCTGCCTTGGTCCACCAAAGTGATGGGATTACAGGTGTGAGCCACTGGGTCCGGCCCTTAAAACATAGTTTGACCATGACGCAGAGCAAGAAATATTGTAGGCCAGGTGTGGTGGCTCACGCCTGTAATCCCAACACTTTGCTAGGCTGAGAAAGGCATATCACTTGAGGTCAGGAGTTCGAGACCAGCATGACCAACATGGAGAAACTCTGTCTCTACTAAAAATACAAAAATTAGCTGGGCATGGTGGCTTATGCCTGTAATCCCAGTTAGTTGGGAGGCTGAGGCAGAAGAATCGCTTGAACCCAGGACGTGGAGGTTGCGGTGAGCTGAGATCATGCCATTGCACTCCAGCCTGGGCAACAAGAGTGAAACTCCATCTCAAAAAAAAAAAAAAAAAAAAGTAATATTGTAATGTCCCAAGTACACAAATAGGTAAAAACATGTGCTTGTTTATAGAAACAAGTTTTGAGAAAGAGACAATGTTTATCCTTACTATGTACAATATACTGATATATTTCATTCTATTTTTTTCTGTTCTACATATTTTAAATGCTGATTTGTAACCTACTAAATTGATTTCACTATCCACTACTGGATTGCAACCCACAATTTGAAAAATGCTATTTTGCTAACACATGCCAAGCATGTGTTGGGCATTGTCTTATGGTCAGGCATAGTAGACATGAGGCAGGCATTTAGGAAACTAATACTAAACATATATTCAATAGTTTGCTCAGGATATCCCAGCAGGTTAAGTGAACAAGAATAAATGTGCTTCTGGCTGCAAAACCCATGCTTCTTTTTGTCTTTCTTTTTTTTTTTTTTTGAGACGGAGTCTTGCTCTCTGTCGCCCAGGCTGAAGTGCAGTGGCACAATCTTGGCTCTCTGCAACCTCTGTCTCTTGGGTTCAAGCCATTCTCCTGCCTCAGCCTCCCAAGTAGCTGGGACTACAGGCACGAGCTGCCACGCACAGCTAATTTTTATATTTTTAGAAGAGACGGGGTTTTGTCATATTGGCCAGGGTGGACTCGAACTCTTGACCTCAGGTGATCTGCCCACCTTGCCCTCCCAAAGTGCTGGGATTACAAGCGTGAGCCACTGTTCCCGGTTGTTTTTCTTTCTTTTTTAGCCCATGCTTTTTATACTTTACCAGACCACCTCAGTATGATCAGATGCAACCGCAAAAAATGATAACAAAAGATGACATATGTAGAGGCTTCCTATGTGTCAAGCACTGTTCTAATTACTTTATATTGACTCTGACTCATTTAATCTTCACAAGAACCTTGTAAAGTAGGTATTATTATCTTCCATTTCTTCAGATAAAGAAACTGCAACATAGCTGGGTTAAGATTTTCACATCTCCTTGAAACATATATAAGCGTATATAACGTTAAGATATGCCCCAGATCACCCAGATAATGTCTCTCCTCTAAAATCTTCTGATGGTTTTTCGTGCACAGAATAAAATCTAAACTCCTTAGCAAGACTCTCCATGATCTGAAATTCACATCTTCTAATGCCTGCCCCTCACCTGCAAAAGCCTATGGTTCAGCCAGACTTTTTCCCCAGTCTTCGAACACACTGTTCTTGTCCCCTCAAATCTTCATGCCTTAGACCAATTCCTTGGCTTTTTCCCACCTAGTTTTCTGGTCCAACTTCTACCTATTCTTTAACATACAGTTCAAATGTCACTTTTTTTTTTTTTTTGAGACGGAATCTCGCTTTGTCATCCAGGCTGGAGTACAGTAGCAAGATCTTAGCTCACTGCAACCTCTGCCTCCCGGGTTCAAGCAATTCTCCTGCCTCAGCCTCCGGAGCAGCTGGGATTACAGGCGCCCACCACCACGCCTGGCTAATTTTTGTATTTTTAGTAGAGACGGGGTTTCACCATGGTCTCGAGCTCTGACCTCAGGTGATCCGCCCACTTTGGCCTCCCAAAGTGTTGGGATTACAGGTGTGATCCACCGCGCCCGGCCTCAAATGTCACTTTCTCAGCAAACCTTTTCCTGGTGTCTTCCCTGCTTCCTGGTGTTCCTGGTGTATCCTGCCTGTTCCACAGTGGTCAATGGACTTGTGCTTACCCTAAGATCTCTCGCTACACTGTAACCATTACTTTCCATTTCTGCCTTCACACCTACCTCCAGGACTGAATTAGGGGAACTGTGTCTTTCCCCTGGGGTCCATCATATTCATTCAATGGTTATGGTATACCTAGTGCTGTTCGAAGTATTCGGCATACATCTGTGAACCAAACAGGAAATCAACCCTGCCCTCGGGAAGGCTCATCACCGAGCCTACTGATGAAGGAACAAATGAGATGAAAAGAAAATAGCATAAATGGAATTCACCTGAAAATATGCCACTCTAAAGGGAAACTGTTGACAGGTAGGAAAAGTAGGATGCCCCATGGACAAAGAGTCAACTCTGTCTTTATGACAGGCCAACTCAGCGGGTGCCCACCACGCTTGGCTCCAATTCAAAGAGCCACCATCTTTGGTCCCCACCTCAGTGGGTTCCCTTGTGGCCCAACGTCTCCGTGTCTTCATACCTAAACTCGCAGCGGGGCGCCAGGTAAAGATGAGTATTATGGTCCGAGAAGCGAACTTCCAAGTCACCTTCGCCCAGTCGCACCCAAGACATGCCCCTCCCACCTTCTGGGGGAACCAAGATGGCTCCCGGGGAGCCGTGGGCGAGGCCCCTAGAACTCACCTACTTTGAGTCCCCGCGCGCGCCACCAGTAACGGTCGCGACCCGGGTGGAGCGAGTGCGTGCCGAAAAGAGCTGATTTGCTGATTGGCTGGTGCCGCTGTCTTTCACAGCTGCAGCCAGTCGAGCAGAGGCACACCCAAATCCCCACCCCCTCCTCCCCGCCCCCTTACAGCTCAAATGGGAGGTGTCTACCAGGCTGCTGAGATCAGTTAATAAGAAGGTAATTGAAGGCCGCGGTGAGCCAACAGAATAATGCACGTCGATTGGGCAGCTCCAAGGGACAACCCACTACCGCTTGCCCTCCCACCACCCACTTCCCGCGCAGATTTCCAAACCGCGACCAGAGAGTCTGGCGCCAGCTGCCGGCGATGGATAGAGGGGCTCTGCCATAGACGTCCGACGTGTCCGGTACGGCCAGAGCGCCTTTCCTCGGTCCTCCCAGACATGGTGTCCGCTGACTCATGAGAAATGAAAGTGGGTTGCAGTCGTGGCTGGGGGCTGCAGTTTGGAGAACAGCCCGTAGGCGTGGCATTTCACTCTTTGTTGCAGTGGAATTTCATTTCCTTTTGATTTGGTTTGTAGTAGAAGTCATATTATTTCTTCCCGGGAATACATCTCTGACGGACATTTTGAGGTTATTTTCATAAATCCAAGATCCTAAAGATCTGTAGTCGAACAGAGAAAACTGGCTTGCACTCTGTTTTAAAGGCTGTCCCCACCTTTCGAGGGGCGAGGGAAGGATGATAAAATCATTTATTTTTATTTTTTAATTAATTAATTTATTTATTTTGAGATGGAGTTTAGCTCTTGTTGCCTAGGCTGGAGTGCAGTGGCGCGATCTCGACTCACAGCAACCGCCGCCTCCCGGGTTCAAGCGATTCTCCCTGCCTCAGCCTCCCAAGTAACTGGGGTTACAGGCATGCGCCACCACACCCAGCTAATTTGTATTTTTAGTAGAGACCGGGTTTCTCCATTTGGTCAGGCTGGTCTCGAACTCCTGACCTCAGGTGATCCGCCCGCCTCAGCCTCTCAAAGTGGTGGGATTACAGGCGAAAGCCACCGCGATCGGCCATTTATTTGTTCTTTTTTGAGACGGAGTTTCGCTCTTGTTGTCCAGGCTGGAGTGCAATGGCGCGATATCAGCTCACCGCAATCTCCACCTTCTGGGTTCAAGGAATTCTCCTGTCTCAGCCTCCCTGGTAGCTGGTATTACAGGCATGCGCTACCACGACCGGCTAATTTTGTATTTTTAGTAGAGACGGGGTTTCTCCATGTTGGTCAGGCTGGTCTAGAACTCCCAACCTCAGGTGATCCTCCCACCTGGGCTTCCCAATGTGCTGGGATTACAGGCGTGAGCCACCGCACCCGGCCCATTTTATTATCTCACAATAAGACATGAAGAAAATGGTAACTATAACACTTGCATAATTCATAAAGTCCTTTCTGTTGGTTATCTCAATTCTGTCCACAACAGTCAAATAAGCAGATTTTACAAACAAGGAGTTGAAGCCCTGCAAAGTAAAAGGACTTTCCTAGGATCCTACAGCTAATATAGAGACAAATTGAAACAAGTTATCTGATTGTATATTTTGAGTTATTTCTACTCCCCAAAAATGACTGTTTTAATTTCCCTAAAACATAGAGCATTACATTTTAAGTGGGAAGAGAGGGCTTACACAAGTTGATGTTCCCTTATTTAGAAGGCAACTTAGAAATACATTGATCTGCCCGCCGCGGTGGCTCACGCCTGTAATTCCAGCTCTTTGGGAGGCTAAGACGGGCGAATCACGAGGTCAGGGGATTGAGGCCATCCTGGCTAACATGGCGAAACCCTGTCTGTACTAAAAATACAAAAAAAAAAAAAAAAAAAAAAAAATTGATCTGTGTGTAATCGAATGTGAATGAACAATGATGTTGACTTGATACTACATTTCTGAGTGGCCAGACTGCAACATATTGGAGGACAGGGAACTAATTTTTAATCATTTTGTAACCATAGTTCCTAATTTGGTGGATACATAGTAACTATCAAATAAGTGAATAAATCTCTGGGAAGAAGCTAGTGGACTCTGTCTTGAGCCCATCCAATTTTCCCCCATCAATTACCCCTCTCTCCTTTTTCAATACTGGGTATCTTGCAGAGTTTCAATGGCGGCCACCTGGTCAGTGAAATAAGCGAATTGAAAAACCACTGACTTCATTAACATGTCTAAAAAGGTAGGCTGAAAAAACTGAAAATCTATCAGGCATCTCATTCCATAGTTCCCTGTTTGACAAGAAGATCAAGGTGTCTTCAAAGTCTGCCCTAAGGCCCAGATCTCCTACGTGGATGGAGACTTCTAGTTTCACAAATCCCCGATGTCGGTTTCTCTAAACTATTTTATTCTTTGAACATACTCTCCAGACAACATCTCTATCCTGAAAAGCCCTTGCTGCAATTTTGTTTCTCTTTCAAAACAATGACTCGAAAATTCCCAAGGAAATAGCAAGAGGGCGATTCCCTTCTTGAAGTATTTGAGAGAGCAGAAGCTTACTGAAGTTCATGACTTGGGTCACCAAAGGCCAGAGGTAGCAGAGCACGGTGCCACACTCCTCCCCATTTTTCGCTGAGCTAAGCAATTCTGTCTTCCCTAGAGGTACTGCAGCTGGGAGCTTTTAGGGCGTGCCTCACCACCCAACTTCTGGAACCCCAGACTTCTCAATTCCTGCATCCCCAAGAACTGCTCATTTTTTGTACAAAAACCTCAGGCACAGAGGAAAGGAATCTTGCGCAAGGTCGTTTTTCATTTACAAAACAAAAACCCAACAAAAACCAAACCCGTACCCACCCATTCGTCACTTCATTTTGCACCGTGAACAACAATAGGGGACTACAACTCCCAAAGAGGACTGCGCTCGTCCACTGGCTCAGAGGCCAATGGACGCCTGGTACATGACCGGCATCGACTAATCAGGGCCAGGCTCGATGAGGCTTTGTCTCCCGACCGCGCGCGGGGCCGATTCTCCCGCCTCCCAGCCCCGGCGCACGCGCGCCCCGCCCAGCCTGCCTTCCCTCCGCGCCCTCCCCTCTCCTTTCTCCCTCTCAGAACCTTCCTGCCGCCGCGTTCGCACCTCGCTGCTCCAGCGTCTGGGGCGCGTTCCAACCTTCCAGCCTGCGACCTGCAGAGAAAAAAAATTACTTATTTTCTTGCCCCATACATACCTTGAGGCGAGCAAAAAAAATAAATTTTAACCATGAGGGAAATCGTGCACATCCAGGCCGGTCAGTGTGGCAACCAGATCGGTGCCAAGGTAAGAATTTTACACCTCTTTTATTTCTTTTTAGAAGGAAAAATCCAGGTAAGTTATGAAAAATGGTTGTGGGGCATTTGCACTCTCCATTCTTAATCAAGCTTTGCCCCTCCCAAGTTTGTTACATTTATATATATAATAAGTAGCATTTGCTTTTGGAAAACTGGGAATCATTTTTCTTGGCAGGCACATTTTGGAGAAACTAGTAAAAGGGCTCTTCGGGTTTCGGGGGCGGGAAGACCAAGGACATATGTTACTTAAAAGGGCTTCTAACGGTCCAAGAACCGGGCAGGGAGAGAGATGCGGAAACAGTCGGAGACAAAGCGGGGCGAGGTTTTGCCCATGTGCATCCCGCCCAGCCCCCCCTGCGGGGTTCGTAGGGCCAAACGGGAGCGGGAAGGGGTGAGGCTGTCGGGCGGCTGCAGAGAGCTCCAGTGCAAAGGTCGGGGGGCGATGCGCCAGGGTGGGCTGCGCTGGGCGCTACCATTCACAAAAGATCAGGGACCCCAGCGCGCCCGCGACCCCGGAGGGCCAGTCCTGTAGTTGTTCCTGGGTGGAAGGAGAATAAGAACGGGATTAATTTTTCTTGCTTTCATGGCCCCTAAGCGAGACCTCTTTAGGGCGTGAACTGATATGTCGAGAAAATGGGGGTGTGTGGTTTTCTTTAACGAGTCCTTCAGGACTTAATGGGAGAGAAAGAATGCTTTAAATCAAGGGGGAGAAATCTAGCAAAGGAATAAAATTCCGAGGCCAAGGGTTTTTTTTTTTTTTTTTTGCGCGCGGTTACAGTGTAGCGGGGGAGGGGCGGGAGGAAGTGCGGGTGCTACGTTGTAGCAGAAGGGCGGGGCCCTGCGGGGCGGGGCCAGGGCGCCGCTGGCGCGCGGGGACAATGCGGCGTTGCCCGCCGGGAGGGGCGCGCTACCCTGGCCCCCGCCCCTCGCGCTGAATTCTTGCCCCTGGCCCCGCCCACGTGCGAAGTCTTTTGTCGGCGGCTCGACCTGCGCGTGCGCCGCAGTCACGTGGCGGGTGGGGGGTGGTCGACTGCGGCAGCAGCTCTTCTAGTGCCCCGAGCCTTTTGTGCGCCGCGCGGTGGGGCGGTGCCCAGCTCGGGGGAAGAACAGCGGCGCTTATCCAAGTATGGTCGACCTCCATCCGCCCACCGAGCACTTGGGACCCGCTGCACATAATCCCGAGCAGGGAAAGCTGTGATTTTCCCGGGGGAGCGAGTGTCTAGGGGAAGGGTGTGGCAGGCACACGGGATGCCAGGCCCTAGAACAACGGCCTGAGCGCGTGTGGGATTAAAATGGGAGATGTGGGACTGAGGCGGGCTAATTGGGATCGCTCCCGCTCAGGGGTTTGAGACCATCCTGGGCAACAAAGCGAGACCCCTCCCCCCGGCCACAGTCCTCTTCAAGAAAAAAAAAAAAAAAATTAACTTGGGTGTGGTGGCGCCGTTCTGTGGTCCCAGCTATTCGAGAGGCTGAATGGGGAGGATCCGTTAGCCTGGGAGTTTCAGGCCTGTATGA